TATATATATATATATATATTTGGTTTCTATTGTTCGAAATTCTCAACGGACCTAAAGTTTAAAAACTTGAATTTGGTCCCTCATGTTTGTCAATTTCCATATATATATATATTTGGTTTCTATTGTTCGAAATTCTCAACGGACCTAAAGTTTAAAAACTTGAATTTGGTCCCTCATGTTCGTTAATTTCCAACAGCTTTGATCTCTTTGTCTAACATTTGTTAACTTTTTTTTTGTTAAATACAATTAAATAAAGGATATTTTAGTCATTTTCACTATTTTATTAATTTTATATTAAAAACATATTTTAGTTTTAAATTGTAAGAGAAAAGGATAACCACCACATTTCTTTTTTCGTTTTCTTCTCTTTTTGTTTTTCAATTTAAAAAATAAAAAAAATGTTTTTTATTTTAATATAATAAAAAATAATGAAAATGACTAAAATACCCTTTATTTATGTAATAAATGATTAACTACCAAAAATAATAACATTATAATTAACATTTTATATAATCTGTGAACACAAAAAATAGTAAAAAAATCTTGAAACATATGAAACAGAAGTTAGTTCCAGTACATGCAAACTGAAACAAAACCTCTGTGCGAATTGGTCAAACAAATAAAACCGTATTTCCCAAAAGTCAAAATTACATTTTGATAAGATTTTCAAATACCTGCAACGTTTTAAGCATGTTACAATAACTTATCAAGTAAGATCAGATCAATAATAACCCTTGAATTATTTGATCAAATAGTACACATCAAAATCAAATATCTTCCAAGTCAAGATCGTTTACTTATAAAACTATCAAACACCACTACAACAAAATCGGGTTTATAGAACGCTTCCAATTTCTAAGCGTCCTAATAGACCTCTTTATAGGACCAAAAAATAAAGTGTCATGTCTAAAAACGTTGTAATAAGTTTATATGACATTTTTTTGATGTTTTAATAAGTTTTTAGGACACTTTTAATATAAATTAACAATTTTATAGGATAATATTTGAGAAACTGTCTTCTAAAAACAAGTGTCATGTAAAAATTGAGTTATATAAGGAACTTTCTCAAAAGTGTCATATAAAGTTGCTAATACGATGCTTTGTATTAAAAATGTCCTAAAAAACTTATTAAGACGCCAAAAACATCATATAAATTTATTACACCACCTTTAGATAAGACGTTTTATATATTAATCTTACAAATTAAGTCCTATAAAGCAGTCTATTAAGACGTTTAGAGATTGGAGGCGTCCTATAAAACCAATTTTGTTGTAATACGCAAAGCAAGTCATATGTGCATGAACTTGTTAAAGACCTTTTAGCCAGTATGAATTTTCATTTGCAAGGACACATAAGTTCGATAACATCAAGCAACTACAGACGAATTCCAAAAAAGCAATCTTCAATAATACCTTTGATATCAATACAAAAATGAAGAGTATCGGCGAGGGAAAATTCCCTCGCAAACCATCGCTAAAAGGATCTTCCGTCGTTGATCCATCGCTTATAGTCTGTCGGTCAAAAGCTCGTAGGTAATGTTATCAGCGACCGGAATCAGCGACAGATCAGCGAGGAAAAATTGACATTGCCGTGATCTGGCTAGCCAAGTTCAGCTCAGAAAAATTCACATTGCCATAACTTTTACCATGACGGAGTCCAATAAGTTTTTTACTGCTCAATAAAAACACGCGATGAAAATCTTGGCCCAAAATAAATCTGCCTACGGTTTTCATTCAGATTATACAAGAGTAGATGCTTCTAGAAGAGAAAAAAGCAACTTATTCCCCTTGGCTGAATCTCCCATCTATAGAGAAACGCAGAACACTTGGATATGCTAACAATTTGTAAGAAGAACACAAAATTCATACATCAAACTTTAACCTTAAGGGACTGTTTGTTTTTCCAAAATTACCTCTTAATATCTCTGAAGTCTGATACGTTCAGACGTTTGGGTATTAAGAGCGTTTGTTTTATTTCTAAAATAAGAGTTTAATAACTCTAAATGTCCTATGAAAATTTAAGTGGTAAACATATCCCTTAATACCTCTTAATCCTAATCCGCCCTCTATCAAATGATTCATATTTTAGGGCTGAAAGAGATTTGTTAGCAAAAACTATTTACCTTTTATACTTTTGTAAAAAAATATTTATTTTTTATATTTTTGCACTATTTTGACCGATTCAAATTTCAGACTTCAGACATAAAAACAAACAATTTTACTGATCTAGATTTCAGACTTCAGGACCACATCTTATAAATCATAAGTGAAATCAGATTTCAGACTTCAACATCTCTTAAAAAACCAAACCCCACCTAAGTGTTTCAATTTCATCCATATGGTTTCAAGATCTATTTTCTCAGAACGAAAGAAATAATTTCAACAAAACAATGTTTCGATCTATACTATATTATAAAACATTTTGACAACAACTCTTAAAAATCAATTTTTATGCATGAAGTATTGTTTATTGATGTATATTACTTAAAATTCAAGATTACAAGTGAATTGTGCGTAAGTATGACTTATTAAAGCTTCATGTTTGAATTCGTGTAACTAAGTGTCAGATAAACATAATCAAATAGAGTATAAACATTTTATTTTAAATATAAAAAACTAAAATATAATTAGGATAATTATTGAATTCTAACAAAATGCTCAATTGTTATTTTTTATAAAAAATTATATTATTAAACCAAAAATAAAAAAATGAATTAAAGAAATACACAAAAAAAAAAAAATTTAAATAGTTAGTTTGGTACTAATATCAATATTTTTTTAATGATATCTTCATATTTATATTTTGTTCAAAAATAAAAACGTTATCGTTTTCTCAAAACCACATAAAACCGTATTATAACATCGACTAAGACAAAAAAAAAAACGAAACACTAAAATTGAAACACTTAATCAAATATATTTACTAAAAATTATAATATCATAAATTAAAAATGTTTACAGAAGATCACTATTTCAATAATAAAACCATTCATAAAAATTATAATATCAGAAATTAAACATGTGTACAATCTAGACATCACTTTTTTATGTTTTATATAATATCTGTAGTAGGGACAACCATTTTGGGTTTCATTCTGATTCTGAATCACACAAGATTCATTTCGATTTTGCAACAAGGCATATGATAGACCATTACAGAAAGAGTAGAAATCAAGAAACGGTTAATACAACTGAATCAGAAATACTTGTCAGATATATAACAAGAACAACAATACGTACACTGATTTCTCCTATGAATTAAGAAATCCTCTTGATCAAGGTGATTAAACTTCGAAGAGTTTTGTGTTATTGGATGAATTACAAGATCAAAAGACGATGTAAAGGTAAAAAAAAACCGAACATTTACAGCAAAAACACTGTGAAGGTTATTTTCACAGCGTTTGAAGTTTTAAGTGTAAAAAAATGGTCTTATGGGGCTCATGAAAACATGTTGGTCTCACATGATTCAAAGTCCCAAATTTGGTGTAAGAAACAGTAATATAACATTATTATTTAAATAAAATTGAAGAAAACAAAAAAAAATCCATAATTTTATATTTAGAATATTTTTAATTTAGAATTTCAAGAGAAATATTTATTAAATGTCTTTATTTTATAACGGATTAATTATAGTTGATGGATAGAAACGATACTTTTATAAATATTTTTAATTATTTTAAATTTGTAAAACAAAAATAAATTCAAAAAGACAGTGTTACGTTAGAGTGTGTTTGGTTTGGTATCTAAAAAGGATAAGATAAGACAGAACATGATAGAAAATAAAATGACATGATAGAACAACTGTTCAACATTTGTTTGATAAAACAGAACAACTAGAATGTCCAATTTATCCCTAATGAGTTGTTTATTTTAATTAATTTATGTAAAGAATACTTATTTTATATAACAAAATATTTGAAAGTTTTCGTTAAAATAATTAAAATAACAACAAATAAAAAATTTATATAGTTTTCAAATTTTATTTTTTATTTCTTTTCTACATTATTTTTTTATATTAATATATAATAAACTACATAAATTAATAAGAATATAGAAACCGTATAAAAATAATATTTTAATAATAATAAAATGAAACTTTAAAAAACATAAAATATGATAAATAAAATTTAAAGAATAAATAAAATATAAAGAAAGACGTATTTGATACTTTAGAAGAAAATTACGTTTTATTTTAAAATTATATTAATAAAATATAAGTTTGTTCCATTTTATTCCATTTTGTTTCACTTTATTTTTATCTGTTTTACATAAAAGTCATGTAAACATTTTACAAGATCTCTGTCCTCTTCTATATCTATACTGTAATGTATACAAACATCACCCTTGTAGACGTGTCTTCCATTTCATGTAAAGAATCAACACCGCATTACATATTCTCTAAACCATGCTTCCACCTGGTACATGCAGATGTCCTACGTGTAGCTCCAACTTCACCACCTTTACAATCTACTCCTCCACGTGTAACCCTAAAATCCACCATAAATACCCACCACCACAACCACTCCATCACCACTACCACCACCACCATCACAACCATCACACAATGGCAAAGCTAATAGTTCTCGCCTTCACCATCGCCACCCTCCTAGCCTTCGCTTCTGCCCACAGGACCATCATCACCACCACCATCGAAGACGACACCTTCGACATCAACACCAGCTCAAGAAAAGATCAATGTATGCAACATCTCCAGAGCCAACAGCTCCAGCAATGCCAGAGGTACCTGCAACAGCCGAATCAGAGCCCGTTCGGACTGCCAAACCCACAGCAGCAGCAAGCCCTCCAACAGTGCTGCCAAGAGCTCCGAAACATCGACGAACAGTGCGCGTGTAAGGCCGTGAAACAGGCGTTTGGAGAAGTCCAACAACAGCAGCAGCAACAACAACAGCAAGCTGGACCTTTTGGTTCCCAACAGACCCAACAGTTGAAACAAAAGGCTGAAAACCTCCCTAACGTTTGCAACGTCCAAACCAGACAACAATGCAATGTTAAAACCGTCAAACAATGCCGGAATCAGGTCCAGCAGGCACAACAGTTTAACCGGTGCCAAAAGTACTTGGAACAACAGGCCGGCTCCGGCTACCTGAGGACGGTGGTTTCGTTAGAGAAACAGCCGCAAGAAGTGGAACAGTGCTGTGAAGAGCTTCGAAATGTGGACGTKGAATGCCAGTGTGAGGCGATGAAGGAAGTGTATAACCAAGCTCAGAGGGAGCAACAACGGCCGCAGATGGAGCAGTTGGGAAGGATGGTTCAGAATCTGAAGAACGAATGTAACTTAGAAGTGGAACAGTGCCAAGTTCCATCTTGGAGGTTCTAAGTAAGGTAGGTTGATGATGAGAAATAATGGTCGATAGGGAGTAATTGGTCGCATCTCTGGTCGATGTTCATGGCTTTGAGATGGGGTTAGTTTCCCAAAATACTGATCGATAATCCATGGATAAATAAAATGAGTTTCAATTCAAATGATTTGATTGTGTCAATGATGATTAGACCCTAGGACATGTAAGTAAGCCAAAAGGCCTGCTCCTCCATGATCGTCATGAGTCATCCATGGCATTCCCAAATGTCGCTGGAAACCCCAACTTACCCTCTGCCTTGCCGTCCACCCCTACCGTCGTCGCTATATTGTTCGTGGTTAAAAACTCGTAGCTCTAGTCGCCTATAGGTAAAAGTTAAAATTTTGGTTTTTTTTATCATGTCGTCGCGATTCGGGGTGTTAATAGGGTGAAATCCAATGAATTTAGGTAGATCCGATCCGATCCAATCATCTATTGGATGTTTGATTTCGTAATTCTATCTGATTCGATTGACATTGGACATCCGATCCAATCTAAATCTAAATCCAATGGATGATTGGATCGGATCGGTTCCATCGGATGTTATTATTGGTCATCCATTGGATTGGATTGAATTCATCGAGTCTTTTGATCCAATACTTAACCAATTAATCCACCATTTCAACAAATTATTCATAGTTATTAAAAACCATGTACATAAATATCAACTACAAAAAATATTGTAAAAATGTTAATAACTATATATAGTTATTAATTAGATATTAATTGGATGGTCATTAGATTGGATCTGTTCGGTTTTATTGAATATTGGACTGTCATCCAAGAACCGACCGATCCAATTTGTATGTTGAAATTTTGTTTTCGATTCGATCCGATTAAATAGGATATCCAATTATGGTCGGTCGGTATTCTAATTGGATCGGTCGGTTTAAATTGGATCGGGTGACTTTCCGTACATCCCTACTCCAATAATGTACCTTTCGATGAAAACGATGCATAAAATCAAACTTCGACAACGATCTAAATGACGAACTTTGGACTCTGAATTAATGAGATGCACAAAATCGAACTCCAACAACTAACTAAACGGAAATTAGCGATTAGGGTTTAGGAGGGACGATTATGATCCTAAAGGCGTGTCTTCCATATGTAAATATTTTCATTTTCTCGTATAATTTTAATTTCCATAAAACATATTTTCAAATTTTTAAGATTAGTCGGCTTGCATAACGGGTTAAAATATTCAGACTAATAATAAAAAAATGAAATTTTTAAATATGGGAGAATATATTTCAATACAATCGTTTGCCCTTAATCCCAAAAAGGATTCAAACTTTGACTTTGGAGGTAAATGGGTATTTTTTTAAATTCCACATTCACATATGAATTGTACCATTTTCAAGCAAACTTTCTAAAAAAAACAATGAATAAACAAAGTACTCATGAATATTTGATCTAAAAGAACTATAATTTGACACCTAAATTAAGACTATGTAATAAGATAACAATTAGTGTTGAACAAATTCACAAACCCACAATCGTTTATTGGGTTTCTGTTTCTTGATTTCTTTAAAGTAAGTTTAGACCCATAACCTAATTTCTACAGATAGATTAATGAGACGTTTACCAAACGCTACGTTATTCGACTGATTGAGTATGACAGTGACTGAGAGAATCTTACCCGATAAGAGACATGTAAATGACTAATAGCCTTACCCGGTAAGCACTTAACATACGTTACTTATTTTACATGTTAAGCATAACAAATGTCGAGAATCTTATATGATAAGAGACATAGAAATGATTAATAATCATACCGAGTAATTAAGAGGCTAAACTTTTACCTGGATAGCAATAGTTTATAATAATTTATTAAAAAATTTTAAAAATATAAAGTAAATATTTTATTGGATAATAATAATTACAACAATAGTTAATTAATAATAAAATGATTTAGGAGATCAAAGTGCCTTTGACTAGTGGTATATATGTCAGTCTTTCGCTTTTTAGGCTAGGAAGTTAGGGGTTCAAACCTCACAAAAATAAGGAGGGTGTGTGAGTTTATTTGTTCTACTATATTATAAAGCATTTGACAAAAACTCTTAAAAATCATTCTTTATGCATGAAGTATTGTTTATTAATACACTAGAAAGGGTACTCGCGCAATGCAGCGAGATACATCTTGCTTTTAATATTTCATTTTATTTTTTATTTCAGTCGATATTATAGTATAGTTTTATGTGATTTTTAAAAAGAGATTATGTTTTTATTTTTGAATAAAATATAAATTTGAAAATATTTATACTATATTATAGAACATTTGAACAAAAACTTTTAAAAACAATTTTTTATGCATTAAGTACTGTTTATTGATGCATATTACTTAAAATTCAGGATTACTAGTAAATTGTGCGTACGTACAACTTATTAAAGCTCCATGTTTGAATTCATGTAACTAACTGTAGATAAACATAATAAAATATTGGATAAATATCTCAGTTTAAATATAAAAAATCTAAAATATATTTAGAATAATCATTGAATACTAACAACTAATTATTATCTTTATAAAAAAATTATATTATTAAATCAAAAATAAATGATTTCATCATTGAATCTAAATTATAAAAAACAGAAACTTTTAAATATTTAATTTGACATTAAAGTTGATACATTTTTTTTTCAAAATTTTATGATACTTTCAAATTTATTTTATTTAAAAAATAAAAACATTATCGTTTTTTCAGTACCACATAAAATCGTATTATAACCTCGGCGTTGACAAAATAAAATGAAACACTAAAGTCGAGATTGCGTGAGTACTCTTCTAGTCATAAAAATTTTCTTACAAAGATAATAATTAATTATTTTGTTAGAACTCAATAATTATGCTAATTATATTTTAGATTTTTTATATTTTAAAATGAGATGTTAATCCTCTATTTGATTATTTTTATCCGCAGTTAGTTACACGAATTCAAACATAAAACTTTAATAAATTATACTTATGCATAATTTACTTGTAATCTTGAATTTTAAGTAATATGCATCAATATACAGTACTTCATGCATAAAAAATGGTTTTTAAGAGTTTTTGTCAAATGCTTAATATAGTATAAATTACTTAAAGTTTAAGATTACAAGTAAATTGTTCGTACGTACAACTTATTAAAACTCTATTTTTAACTTCGTAATAACTAACTGCAGATAAACATAATCAAATATAGAATAAACATCTCATTTTAAATATAAAAAAATCTAAAATATAATTAGAATAATCATTGATTCTAACAGAATCATTATCTTTATACAAATTATATTGTAAAGTCAAAAATAAATTACTTCGCTATTGACCTAAATTAAATTATAATAAAAAATTGAATTAAATAAATTGTACAAAAAAGAGAGCTTTTAAATTGTTAATTTAACATTAATATCGATGTAGTTTTTCAAAATTTTATGATATTTTCATATTTATTTTTATTCAAAAGTAAAAATATTGTCTTTCTCAAAACCACATAAACTGTATTATATCAACAGAAAAAAGATAAAACGAAATATTAAAATGAAAATGTATATCGCTGCATTGCGCGAGTACCCTTCTAGTATAGAGAGAGAGAGAGAGAGAGAGAGAGAGAGAGAGACTTGGGATCATGTGAGACCAACCTGTTTTCGTGAGACCCGTGACCATTTTTTTACAGTTGAAACTTCACAGTAAAATGCTGTGAAGGTAACTTTCACAGTGTTTTTGCTGTGAAAGTTCGGATTTTTTTTTACCTTCACAGTGTTTTTGCTGTAAGTTTCAAGTGTAAAAAGATGGTCTCACGGGTCTCACGAAAACAGACTGGTCTCACGTGAACCCAACCACCCAATTTGTACAAACCGTACAAACCTCATTCAACCAATCATAATTTTTCATTTTGTTCATTTTTTTAAATTATGAGAGCTTGATTAACCATTTTTATTGTGGATGATGTTAATCATGAATATTATCATCTTCATTATTTTAATTTTAAAAAAAATACATGAAACAGTTTCATTAAAATTTCATTAAATATTATATAAAACAATTTCATAATCATATATGAAACAAACTCATCAAAAAAAATATTATATGAAACAATTTCACAAGATTAAATAATTTCATGAAATTTTTTTATAAGATTAAATAATGAAATCAACGTATGAAACTGATTTGTATAAATGAGGGTATATATATATATATATATATATATATATATATTTATTTATTTATTGAGAGTAGTTTTCATAGCAAACAAATAGCCCTCGAAGAATATTATGGTTGGCCCAATTGATACTCTTACGGTCTTACATATGAACCACCATAAACCATGCTTCCACATGGTGCATGTAAAGTCCTACGTGTAGCTCAAACTTCACCACCTTTACAGTCCATCTCTCCACGTGTAACCCTAATTATCCACTATAAATACCACCACCCCCACCACCACCAGGTCCACCACCCTGCACAATGGCAAAGCTAATAGTTATCGCCTTCACTATCGCCACCCTCCTAGCCTTCGCTTCCGCCCACAGAACCATCATCACCACCACCATCGAAGACGACACCTTCGACATCAACCCCAGCTCAAAAAAAGAACAGTGTAGGCAACATCTCCAGGGCCAACAATTCCGACAATGCCAGACTTACCTGCAACAGCCGGAGCAGACACTTCTCCGACAGCCACACCCACAGCAGCAGAAAACCCTAAAAAAATGCTGCCAAGAACTCCGAAACATCGACGAAGAGTGCGTGTGTAAGGCCGTGAAACAGATGTTCCGAGACGTCCAGCAGCAGCAACAACAACAAGAAGATGGACCTTTTGGTTCCCAACAGATCCACCAGTTGAAACAAAAGGCTGAAAACCTTCCTGACCTTTGCAACGTCCAAACCAGAAAACAATGCAATATTAAAACCGGCAAACAATGCCAGAAGCAGGTCCAAGGACGACAGCTTAACCGGTGCCAAAAGTTCTTGAAACAAGAAACCGGCTCCGGTTCCCTGAGGACGGCCGTCATGAAACAGAAACAGATGGATGAACTGGAAGAGTGCTGTGAAGAGCTTCGAAATGTGGACATGGAATGCCAGTGTGAGGCTATGAAGGAGGTGCTTAGCCAGACCCAGGAGGCGGAGCAGCGGCCGGAGGAGATGAGGGAGTTGCGACGGATGGTTCAGAATCTGAAGAATCAATGTGACTTGGAAGTGGAACAATGCCACATTCCGTCGGAGGTGTTCTAAGGAAGCTAGTTACAGGGATGAATGGAGAAGATGAATGAGAAAAATAAAGCTAGATAGGGATTCGTGTGATCTCTAGTCCATGTTTATGGCAGCTTGAGATGAGATCAGTTTCCTAAAATGCGGATCATCTATGTTTAATTAATATAAGTTCTAATCTACGGTTTCAGATGATTTGATGTCTCCTTATAAAACAGTAAAAAAACTACTAACCACAAGGGTGGTGACTTATTGGTTTGAGTTTAACTCTAAAGTTCAAAAGTACCAGGAGGTCTCAGTTCAAATCCAAGGAGGAATAGAAATCCCCTTGTGGCCATGAAGGTTTAAATGCGATGACTTTGAGCTATCTGCAAAGCAGTTGGTCGTCCTGAAATTAATCAGTTCGCGAGTTAGATATCCAGATTAATAATAAAAAAAAACAAAGAAGCAAATCCAAAACCCACCATCCAAAAAGATGACAAAAAGTAATAGTTGGATGCTAATTTTTTGAATAACCCAACTACATAAGAGACCAATTATTTTTTACTATTCAAAGAGCACATTAATTATATATATATGGAGAGAGAGAGACTATTAGGACATTTCGGACGGATCTTCGGCGGACAAGGTGCCCTATTTGGTAGTGGAGAAAGGGTGTTGGGTTTATATGAGACCAGCATGTTTTCATGAGAACCAGAAGACTATTTTTTTACACTTTTACCTTTACAGCAAAACGCTGTGAAGGTAAAAGAAAAGTGGAATCTTCACAGCAAAAACATTGTGAAGATTACCTTCACAGTGTTTTACTGTGAAGTTTCAAGTGTGAAAATGTGGTTTCACGGGTCTCACGTGATCTTTTTGCTGTGAAGGTAAAAAAAAGCCAAATTTTCACAACAAAAATATTGTGAAGATTACTTCATAACGTCTTGTTGTGAAGATTCAAGTATAAAAAGATGGTCTTACGGGTCTCATGAAATCATGCTGGTCTCACGTGATCCCAAGTCAGTCTCTCTCTCTCTCTCTCTCTCTCTCTATATATATGGATTCTAATGAAAATAAAAATTACGTTGAGAATGTGAGTATAAATTCATAAATATTTTCATGTACATTTATTTATTTTTATTTACTTATTATTATTATTATTATTATTATTTTAATTTTAATAAATTCATAGATGTGAAAAATGATATTAAATATATGTGAAAGTGACTTAAAATTAATTAAGATAAATTTGAAGATGATAGTAGTTGAAGGTAGTGAAATTTGTTGAATAAAATTAAGTTAAATTAAAAAGTCTCATTCAAAGATTACGAAGTCTTCTAACCTTCTCACTCTATAATTGTTATTCTCACACCATCTCTGTCTTATATGATGTGTATATATATATAGCTGACTTATTATGTAATTCTTTGCATTTATACGATCAATACAATTTAATCTCAACCGTCCATTTAATTTAATAAATATATGATTTCATAAAAATTTAGATTGTTTTCAAATATAAAATATTGATCATAATTAATGAACTCTAGTCATCTTTTATAAGTATTTAAATCATAATAAATGAACTCTCATTATTTATACTATATTATAAAACATTTGACAAAAACTCTTAAAAACCATTTTTTTTATGCATAAAGTATTGTTTATTAGTGCATATTACTTAAAACTCAAGATTGCAAATGGATTGTGCGTAAGTACAACTTATTAAGCTTCATATCTGAATTCGTGTAACTAACTGTAGATACACATAATCAAATATATGATAAACATCTTATTTTAAATATAAAAAATCTAAAATATAATTAGAATAATCATTAAGTTCTAACAAAATACTTAATTATTATATTTATAAAATGTTATATTATTAAACCAAAAATAAATTATTTCGTTATTAAACTTAAATTAAATTATAATAAAAAAATAAATTAAAGAAATTACATAAAAATGAGAACTTTTAAATAGTTGATTTGATATTAACATTATTACTTTTTCTAAAACACATAAAATCGTATTATAACATCGACAGAGACAAATAATAAAATAGAACATTAAAATCAAGATGTGTCTCGCTGCATTACACGAATACTGTTCTAGTTTTCATAAATATCTCGGTTAATTAGGTTGTTAAATTTGAAACCTACTCTCCTCCACACTCTTGGTTCAGTTTCGTTTTCGGTTTCCAAATAAGTCTCTTCCATTAGCCTTGTTAGTCTAGGCTCCGATAACCTAGTCATGTGCTGTCATGTTCATACCCACCATCGTCAACCATGCACCCACTACCGCCACCATCCTCCGCCAACTAAACAAATGTAACAACTAAAACTTAAATCTCATTTATTTATCCATAGATCATCAGTATTTTTGGAAACTAATCCCACCTCAAACCCATAACCTGCAACTACACTTTATTTCGAAGCTCTTCACAGCACGGTTCCATTTCATCCCCCTGTTTCCGTTTCCAGACGGCGGTCCTCAGGTAACTGGACCCGGTTTGTTGTTCCAAGTACTTTTGGCACCGGTTAAACT